GGGGGGGGGAGAGGGGAGAATGGTTTGGGAAAGCGGGGTGGGGTGGACAGAAGGGAAAATGGGATGGCTTAGGAATGGGGTCTTTGTTCCCCGCTGCCCCGCAGTGTCCCAAACCTGTGATTGCGGCTGTGCACGGCGCCTGCATCGGAGGAGGTGAGCGGGGCTTGGGGGGGGTTGGGGGGCCCACGATGGGCCCCTCTCACAGACGTGGGGCCCCCTCTGCAGGTGTGGACCTGGTGTGTGCCTGTGACATCCGCTACTGCAGCCAGGACGCGTGGTTCCAGGTGAAGGTAAGCGGGGGGGGACCTCGGGTGGCCCTGGGGGCCATCAGCCATCCCTGCTTCCTTTAGGCCATCCCTGGGGGCCCTGTGACGTTCTCAGATCTCCCCTGGTTCCTCTGGGGTCTCCGTGTCCCCTCGGATGTCCCCTCATTTTCAGGGATGTCCCCCAGGGCCTCTCAGAAGTCAACAGGGTGACGCTCGGGGGTCGGTGGGTTGAGGCAGTTGGCGCCTTGGAGGCCTTCTCCAACCTGAACGCATCGCTGGTTGTCCCACGGCCACTTCAGTGTGTCTTCCTTCATGTCCTCATGTTCCCACGCCACACTTCCCGTGTCCCCAAATGTCCCCCCCATGTCCCCAGACGTCCCCCCATGTCCCCACGCTGTCCCCTGTGCCGCAGGAGGTGGACATCGGGCTGGCGGCCGACGTGGGCACACTGCAGCGTCTCCCCAAGATCGTGGGCAGCCAAAGGTGGGTGACAAGGGTGGGGACGATGGTGGGACGCACGCGGGGAGACCCCACCTCACCTCCCGGGACCCCCGCAGCCTCGTCAACGAGTTGGCCTTCACCGCTCGCAAGATGATGGCCCCCGAGGCGCAGAGCTGCGGCTTGGTGAGGTGAGCGGCCCCCAAAGGTGACACCCACCCCCCACCTCCCCCCCCGTGTCCCCAAAGCGCCCCCATCTCCACCGCCCCTTTTCCTCCTGGCCCCCCGCAGCCGTGTTTTCCCAGATAAGGCTGCGCTGCTGCAGGGAGCCCTGGATTTGGCCGCCTCCATCGCAGCCCGCAGCCCCGTGGCCGTGCAGGGCACCAAGGTGAACTTGTTGTACTCGAGGGATCACCCGGTGCCTGACAGCCTGCGCTTCATGGTGAGCATCCCCCCAACCCACAGCCCCCTCCCCACGTCCCTCATCGTCCCCATCCCACGAGGGACCCCCAACCCGTCCCCCCTCCCCAGGCCGTCTGGAACATGAGCATGCTGCAGACGGACGACGTCCTGAAGTCAGTGCAGGCTGTCATGGAGAAGAAGGGCCCCGAGGCCGTTACCTATTCCAAACTGTAGGGTCAGAACAACCCCCCCCCCCCCCCCCGCCCCCCCCCCCCCCAAATAAACGTGGCTGTGCCCGGGGTCCTGCGTCCCACCTCATCCCTGGGGTTGCTGTGGGATGGGACCACAGGTTTGGGCACCACGGAGATTCCTGTCTCCATGTGGGGCTCAAAGCGCTGCCGGTCCCTGAAATGGGATCCGGGCCTCCAAGTGGGGGCACCCCTACCTTTTTGGGGGGCACCGCTGAACCCATAGGGGTGGAAAGAGAGAGGTAATATGGAGAAGAGGGGGTGACGTAGGGCACTGAGGGGGATAGATGGGGCCTGAGGCAAAGGCCAAGGCGGGGGGGGGGG